AGTCATCACTCAGTGTTGGGCACCATGCCATCTGATAGGCCAGGCAGTTCATCTTATGGAAGGAGGAAACCTGGCTCGATGAAATGAGTAACTTGCGCCTGGAGCAGAGCTGTGTCAGCTCTTGGCTATGCTACTGTGTTAAAAGGAAGCAAAATGCTAAGCAAACACACATACGGAAGGACCTCTGATGCAGACCACAGGTATCAAAAAAGCCTTCTCAGAGGAGGGATCATCAGATACACCTTTGACATGCATGTTATTTCCGATTTTAATTACCCTACATACTCTTTCAATGAACATCTGTGCAGATAACTTTCTATTTTGCAGTCCTGCTGCCACCTCCCCCTTTGGTTAGATTATAAGAAGCAGAATTCTGGAACAAATGGGAAAAACCCATGGCTTGCATACCTGTTTCCATGCAGCTACCAATAGCAATATAAGGGTAAAGCTGTTTAACTGTAACTTTACCAGCAGTGGACAGTGATACTTAAAAAATTCTTTGTCCTTCTAGTATCCAAAATCTTACCAAACTTATCAAAGAACAAATAATCCAGCCAAGAAATGGGCAGAGGACATGAACAGACATCTCAGCAAAGAAGACATCCAGATGGCCACAGACACATGAAAAAGTGCTCCATATCACTCGGCATCAGGGAGATACAAATCAAAACCACAGTGAGGGGCGCCTGGGTGGCTCAGTCGTTAAGCGTCTGCCTTCGGCTCACGTCATGATCCTGGTCCTGGGATCGAGCCCCGCATCGGGCTCTCTGCTCAGCGGGAAGCCTGCTTCTCCCTCTTCCATTCCCCCTGTTAGTGTTCCCTCTCTCACTGTGTCTCTCTCTGTCAAATAAATAAAATCTTAAAAAAACAAAAAAACAAAAACAACAACAACAACAAAAAAACCACAGTGAGATACCACTTCACACCAGTCAGAATGGCTAAAATTAACAAGTCAGGAAATGACAGATGCTGGCAAGGATGTGGAGAAAGGGGAACCCTCCTACACTGTCGTGGGAATGCAAGCTGGTGCAGCCACTTTGGAAAACAATATGGAGGTTCCTCAAAAAGTTGAAAACAGAGCTACCCTATAACCCAGCGATTGCACCACTGGGTATTAACCCTAAAGATAAAAATGTAGTGATCCGAAGGAGCATGTGCACCCAAAAGTTCATAGCAGCAATGTCCACAATAGCCAAACTATGGAAAGAGCCCAGATGTCCATCAACAGATGAATGGATAAAGAAGATGTGGTATATATATACAATGGAATACTATGCAGCCATCAAAACACACAAAATCTTGCCATTTGCAACAACATGGATGGAACTAGAGGATATTATGCTGAGCAAAATAAGTCAATCAGAGAAAGACAATTATCATATGATCTCTCTGATATGAGGAATTTGAGAGGCAGGGTGCGGGGTTGTGGAGGGTATGGAAGGAACAAACTAAATGAGATGGGATGGGGAGGGAGACAAACCATAAGAGACTCTCAATCTCACAAAACAACTGAGGGTTACTGCGGGTGGTGGGTAGGAATAGGATGATTGGATTATGGACATTGGGGAGGGTATGTGCTATGGTGAGTGCTATGAAGTGTTTACCTGATGACTCACAGACCTCTACCCTTAGGGCAAATAATACATTTTTTGTTAATTTAAAACATAATAAAAAAAATTATTTGCCCGTAGTAAAAAACCAGTACTTCTTTGATTACTAGTTTAGCTATACATTTTGCCATTAATGCTTTCTTTAAAAAGTTTGAATTTAAGATCTTTAGAGTTACTACTAATCAGGAATATTACCAGTAAAATAACATCATAGAATGTCTCATACCACAGATGCTGTCATTTATTCCTACAATCACAAAAATGGGTATGTCACAATTAGGAGCATCCAAATACAGCAGATTCTATATTCATGCTAAGATACTTGACCTCTGAAACTTATTGTGAGCTCAATGAGGATAGGAGATACGTCTCCTTTTGATTCTGAAGTCCTATCACAATGTCAGCAAGTAATACATACTATAATCATTTGCTACGAATAAGTACCTGAAACAGAAGGTGACAAAGTATGAATTGAAAGTATGAAAAAGTATGAATTGTATAGACCTTCTAAGGTTTATACATGACACAAATAAACTCAGTTCAGTAAACGTCCCATGAGGAAGAGATAAGGAGAAGCAAACTCTTCCCATTTCCCTGGCACCCACGTATACAGAAAGCCTACAATCCCAGTGTGCCAATGAGAGTTCTGGTTTATGCCTTTTGTCCTAGCATCTTCTCTGATTGGAACTGCCTTTCAAAAAGGTCCTCGATTTGGGGCGCCTGGGTGGCTCAGTGGGTTAAGCCTCTGCCTTCGGTTCAGGTCATGATCTCGGGGTCCTGGGATCGAGCCCCGCATTGGGCTCTCTGCTTAGCAGGGAGCCTGATTTCCCCTCTCTCTGTCTGCCTCTCTGCCTACCTGTGATCTCTCTCTCTGTCAAATAAATAAATAAAATCTTTTTAAAAAAAAAAAAAAGGTCCTCGATTAGACAATACATGTTATGATCACCCTACATCGAAGATGTTCCCTTAATGAGTAGCCGCATAGAGTGCTTTCCTGATCAGAAAGCTTGTCTTTCCACATCACTCTGAATTTAACCTTAAAGACCTACAGACAGATAACTGCTCTGGCTTCTAAGTGCTTTTATGATACTTTACCATTTAAAGCCATGTAACAATCCACAAATTGTTAATCTCAATGGGAAGAACATCCCTTGGTTACATCAGAATTCTTTATTCTATTTTGCTGATAAAAGTGAGGCATGGAAAGAAAAAGTCGCTTATCCAAGGTCGTATCAATTATGAGTCCCCAGCCACATGAAAGGAGGCTGCTGAAGCCCCAACTTCTGGTTTTTGGTTAATTCTCTAAACCACACAGTCATTAACTTACAATTAAATCTCCTGTGCAGTTAGGTTAGAAAGATTTTAATCATTTAGCAAATGGCTTTGTAAACTACAGGTGGTAGTAATCCACTCCAAGTTGTACAAACACAATCAAGGGCATACCTTGATCACATTTTTCATGGACATAAACTTCTTGATTAACATTTTGGTCTCACTGAACAACAGTCTGTACTCAAACCTGCCCTACAGATCTGAAACTATTATAAGGTGAAGTGAATATTTATAAAACAGGTGAAAATTTTAAATAAACGTACTACTTTGGGTAATTAAAAAATGAAGTTTGTTACAATTTTATAGTTCACAAGTATGTCAAAATTCATACCAGAGTTCACAGTTTGGTAGGATGACACTCCCACATTATTGCCTGTTTACCACATTAGCACCCTGGCTCATAGCAGAAAACCTCACTGGAGTTAACACACTCATTCTCCATGGCAACAAGATAAAACACTGATGGGAACAAATGCAATGCTCTGCGTCCAAGCCCCACGGAAAAGAGACTCTGTGCTCGCATGAAAGGCGAGGCGTCCACCAACACAGGAGGGAGGTCACCGGGACAGCCGCATCAGTCCCACACTCGTTCACAAACATACTGTCAGTCGGGCCCACGTGCCTCCGGTGGGGATGGGGTAAACACTGGCTGAACACAGGTGACGTTCACGAGAAGGAATACATTTAAGAAGATAACCAAGGAAACTTTTCGAAGTATAAATAAAGTGCAATACCAGAAATAGCCTTTGCGGGCACAGGCCGACGGGATAAAACCGAAAGTTCGGAAACAGACACGGGCAAATACTTAGTAAATGAGAAGGAACGATCAAAGCACGGAAGGATTTAACGACGTCGTGACAGCTGCCTAGCCCAGGCCTGCCGAACTCCAGGTGCACTGAATGTTTCCGTGTCAGAAAATGAAAGGAAAATATGGGTGAAGACCTTTCTACGTATGACTTCAAAGGCAAAAAAACCGATTGATAAATATGACATAAAACATAAATAACACTCTCTAAGATAGATAGATGTACTGAGGATATCCATCATTTCTCTGTCATTTATGCCAGAATCACTAATTTATCATGTGTCTTCATTTTAGTTCAGTTCCTTCTGACATACAAAAGTTAAAAAAAAAACTGTAAAACTTAAAAAAAATTTTTTTTCTTTAAAGTTTTTTTGCTTTTGGGCTACCAATGACTTTAAAAACCAAACCAGACTGGGGCGCCTGGTGGCTCAGTCAGGTGAGTGTCTGACTCTTGATCTCAGCTCAGGTCTTGCTCTCAGGGACATGAGTTCAGGCCCTGTATTGTGCTCTGTGCTGGGTGTGGAGCCTTATGCCAACATATTCGAGTTGCTTTGGAGATTAAAATAATTACTTTATATAAAGCATTTATGTACCATGCTAGAACCCAGCATATAAAGAGTCAGTAAATGGTAACTTTTACTTTGAATGTTATCGCACTGCATATTGGACTTCTCAATTTTGTTGATGTATTTTTATGACTAGAAACTTCTGGTAATGGTATTTTTACCTGTTTTTAAAACAAATTTCAGGGCGCCTGGGTGGCTCAGTGGGTTAAGCCGCTGCCTTCAGCTCAGGTCATGATCTCAGGGTCCTGGGATCAAGTCCCACATAGGGCTCTCTGCTCAGCAGGGAGCCTGCTTCCCTTCCTCTCTCTCTGCCTGTCTTTCTGCCTACTTGTGATCTCTCTCTGTCAAATAAATAAATAAAATCTTTTAAAAAATAAAATAAATAAAATAAAACAAATTTCACATTATTTAATGAGTGCTATAGCTTCTCATTTTTAAAATTATTTTTAAATGTATGCATTAAAATATTGTCCCATATATGCCAACATATGCCAATCACAGACATACCTTAATTCTCTGTGACTGGCATATGTGGCATTGTACCACCTGGTCATAGTTCCAGTCTGAAGTCCTCAGGTGGCCAAATAATAGTATAATCCAAGAATATTACAACGTTTCTTATGAACCAGAACTGCTGAGATGATGAGTTTGAAATATAAACAGGATGTTTGCTCTTCTTTATCTTACCTCTAAGAGGCCGTCCTCCGGTAGATCGGTACAGTGAACGGCATTCTGGATCTTAGTTTTACCGAAGATGGCTCGGAGGGTTCCAGGGCGTAAATGCCGGGCAATTTCCTATTAAATACACATTCACATATAAAGTCAGTCATTCAGTGTCAATAAGGAAAACACCAGCTACATGAAGCTCTTGAATTATCTGCTTATGAAACACATGTATGCATTGATGGCACTGATTATTTCTGGAAATAGCATGAATGTATTAAAACTTTGAGCAATGAAACATTTCAGGTCACTCAGAAGGCTTTTTTGTGGCTTCATGTAAAGTCTAGAGGGTAACAATAACTACATCTGTTTATCAACAGATGGAAAAATCACACAAAACAGGAACCTAGTCTATAATGTGAAAGATTTGTAACCTAACAACTTGATTTAAAATGAATTAGTTTGATGGCCCTGATTTTAAAAGATTTTTCAAAATGCTCCAGTTGCATCAGCTTAGTACCAGCTCCCATTATAGGAAAGAATGGTTACAAATAACTCAAAACTGTAAGAGAAATAAGACGTTAAAAAATTAAAGATGGGGAGTATTAATGACCTACTTATTAGCTTTATCTAAGTGAAACTTTTCCAAAATCTATATTTTAATTTTGACATATATATACAAAAAGCATATTTAATATATATGAATATTTTTTAAAAGGAGAAGAAATACCTGTGTACCCACTACTTAGCCTAAGTAAACAAAAAAATACTTAAACACAAACACTTAAAAGTTCCCCATGTGAGACTTCATCCAGACTCTATTCTATCCCACCCCTCCCTCTACCCAGAAGTACCCATTAGTCTTGATTTTATTTAAAGATTTCTTGGTTTGTTTAGTTTTCAAAACACTGTTTTTCCGATTTGTGCATGTTGTTGTGTTCAGCTGTAATTCATTTTTATTACTATACGAACCCAATATGCGATTGAGCACATTTTATCTATTTTCTTATTGATGGACATTCAGCTCATTTCTTCTCTCTCCTCTTCTTGCTTTGATAGACACGCACACCCAAAGTCACACACAATTCTGCTACAAGAATTCTAATGTGTAGTATGATGCATGTGTACAAGAGTCTTCTCTGGATTAGGGCACACGCATATTCAATCTTACGAAGTACTGCCAAACCATCTTTTAAGTGCTTGTAACAATTTGCCCTCAGTCATCAGTGCACAAGAATTCCCACCACCCACATCAAAATCCACATTTGCTATTGGCTGACTTTTTAATGTTGCTATTCTAGTGGGTGTGAAATGGTGTCTCATTGTGCTTTTGGTTCACATTTCCCTGATTCCTAAAGAAGGCTAATGTCCTTTCATATACATCCGCTTTTATAAAATGCTTATTTTTGTCTTCTTCCATCCATTTCCTAGTGGGTCATTCTTATTTTTTTGATTATTATTCTTATAACCTGAATTCTACTTTTTGCCACTTTGCAATCTTGCAAATATTTTTCCTAGCCTGAAGCTTGTCTCTGAGTTTTCCTTAGTATTTTTTTATATACAGCAATTCAGTAATGTGGCAGAATACAAAATCAGTGCACAGAAATCAGTTCCTTTCTTATACACTAACAATGAAAATACAGAAAGGGAAATTAGAGAATCTATCCCATTTACTATAGCACCAAGAACCATAAGATACCTGGGAATAAACCTAACCAAAGAGGTAATGGATCTGTACTCGAGGAACTACAGAACACTCATGAAAGAAATTGAAGAAGACACAGAAAGATGAAAGACCATTCCATGCTCTTGGATCGGAAGAATAAACATTGTTAAAATGTCTATGCTGCCTAGAGCAATCTATACTTTCAATGACATCCTGATCAAAAATTCCAACAGCATTTTTCAAAGAGCTGGAACAAACACTCCTAAAATTTGTATGGAATCAGAAGAGACCCCGAATTGCTAAGGAAATGTTGAAAAAGAAAAACAAAACTAGGGGCATCACGTTGCCTGATTTCAAGCTTTACTACAAAGCTGTGATCACCAAGACAGCATGGTACTGGCACAAAAACAGACACATAGATCAATGGAACAGAGTAGAGAACCCAGATATGGACCCGCAACTCTACGGTCAAATAATCTTCGACAAAGCAGGAAAAAATATCCAGTGGAAAAAAGACAGTCTCTTCAATAAATGGTGCTGGGAAAAGTGGACAGCTATGTATAGAAGGTGACACCATGGCCAAGGTCACATGGAGGTCAAGAGTACTGGGGAACAGAGGATCGCAGACTGGGAGGCCAAAGTCCTGAATGGTCAGCTCTATGGATATGACAGTCACCAAGTGATATGGCGGCTGCACCTTCTGGTGCAAAAATGTTGAGCAGTATTCACACCTATCATTCTGCCCCTCTGGCACATTTCAAAGGTGTGTGTTTATTTAATTACTTAAGTCTTCCTTTATAAGGTTGCATCAAATGTCAGTTACAAATGCATTACTTACGTGGTGGTAAGCTGGCATTCCGGAAAGACGTACTCTGTAAAATCATGAGGATGAGTACTTATGTGCCTTTTCTTAAATTTCGGATAGGAGGAAAACACTTGAAAAGGATTCCATTTGAGTGCGCTGTTTCATGAGACTTTCCTGCACCTACTTTATTTGGCATTCACCATCTTCATTAAAATATCACTTTCAGGGACGCCTGGGTGGCTCAGTTGGTTGGATGACTGCCTTCGGCTCAGGTCATGATCCTGGAGTCCCGGGATCGAGTCCCGCATCGGGCTCCCAGCTCCACGGGGAGTCTGCTTCTCTCTCTGACCTCCTCGCTCATGCTCTCTCTCACTGTCTCTCTCTCAAATAAATAAATAAAAAATAGTAAAAAAAAAAAAAAATCACTTTCATGTAACTGACTATATGTACAACACCTGAATTCTAAAGAGTGTGTGTGTGTGTGTGTGTGTGTGTGTGTGTGTGTGTGTGTGTGTGGTGGCTGGGGGAGGGGGGGTCATTGTTAATGTATAATCATATCTCACCGTGGTGAGAGAAGGTGTTCTCTTTGGTCATCTTTTGAAGGAGTTTGTTGGGATTTTCTTTGCAGTCAGTTTTAGTCAGTTGTCTCAAGGGCAGCTGGAAAGAATACTGTCACACGTTGCATTCTCTGGGACGCCAACTCTGAGGCAGAGAGCTGCATACAGGAAGTTTACTGGGAGGTGGTCTCAGGATCTACACTCGTGGAGAAGTGAGGAACACGGGATTGGGCAGAGGGACAAGCTGAAGTGCAACGAGCAACAGCAGCCACCTCAGACAGTCCTACAGGGAGTTCTGGAGCTACGATGACCTTCAGAGTCATCCTGAACGGAAGCAAACAGGTGAGGCCCTGATCTCTCCAAACTGACAAGTCACTGGATATGGGCCACTCCGGGGAAGGGGCCATGACCTTGGGCAAGGTGACTTTCTTTAATAGAAGTCTATACCGGGAAGACTTACTGAATCACTGTGAGCTGCCAACACAGGGCTGGGGAATGGGCACCTCAGTCCTGAAGGTGAGAATGGGATCTGAGTGCCCTCCACAGCCTCTGCTGCTCACACACACACACACACACACACACACACACACACACACACACACCCCGCATGCTGCATACACAGCATATATGACAAATATGGTGTTGCAGACCACTGCGATCTGATTACCATTCTTTCTAGGTAATGAATTTTTTCTCTTTTCTGGAAGGTTTTGCATTCTTCCTTCAGCGAGGCATTGGGTCATTTGCCAGTCATTCTGCTCCAGTCTGTTGACTATCGTCCACTTCAGTGTGAAGAGCTACTCTTTAGTTGGCTTCTATCTCTTGCACTGTTTTCTCTCCTCCATGTGACGCCTTCTTTCCTTTCGCTATTTCTATGAAATAAATGTTGAAACTTCTGGTTCTATCTTCCCTCTTTCTTTTCTTATGTACTTTCCATCTAACTGTCTTTTTGTATTATATTCTGGGAGAATTCCTCTGTTTGATCTGTTACCTGATATTTATTTAAAACTGATTTGTTTTTAAACTGGGTCCATGGTGCAACTCTACTAATCTGCTATTTTTAAACTTCAAAAATTGGGTGTTGAGTTTGAGAAGTTCTTTACGGTCTTGGATACTAGTCCTTTCTGTGATAATGTCATTTGCGAATATCTTCTCCTATTCCATGGGTTGCCTCTTAGCTTTGCTGACTGTTTTCTTTGCTGTGCAGAAGCTTTTTATTTTGATGAAGTCTCAAAAGTTAATTGTTGCTTTTGTTTCCTTTCCCTTTAGAAACATGTCTTGAAAGAAGTTGCTGTGGCCAATGTCGAAGAGGTCACTGCCTATGTTCTCCTCTAGGATTCTGATGGATGCCTGCCTCACGTTGAGGTCTTTCATCCATTTCGAGTTTATCTTTCTGTGTGGTGTAAGTGAATAGTCCAGTTTCATTCTTCTGCATGCGGCTGTCCAATTTTCCCAGCACTACTTACTAAAGAGATTGTCTTTTTCCCATTGGATATTTTTTTCTGATTTGTCAAAGACTAGTTGACCATAGAGCTTAGGGTCCATTTTTGGAGTCTCTATTCTATTTCACTGATCTATGTGTCTTTTTTGTGCCGGTACCATGCTGTCTTGGTGATCACAGCTTTGTAATACAGCATGAAATCAGGCAACATGATGCTCCCAGCTTTGGTTATCTTTTTCAGCATTCCCCTGGCAATTTGGGGTCTTTTCTGGTTCCATACAAATTTTAGGACTGTTTGTTTCAGTTCTCTGAAAAATGCCAATTGTTTTTTGGTCAGGATGGCACTGACGATGTAGATTGCTCTGGGCAGCACAGGCGTTTTCATGTTTATTCTTTCAAACCATGAGCTTGGGATGTTTTCCCATCTCTTTGTGTTTTCTTCAATTTCTTTCATGAGTATTCTGTAGTTTCTAGAGTATAGATCCTCTACCTCTTTGGTTAGGTTTATTCCCAGGTGTCTTATGGCTTTTGGTCGTGTTTAAAATTTTCAGTATCTATAATTATTTTTTATGGGTCTGACATTCCTTAAATCTCTCTGAGGGTACTGACTCTCTTATTTTAAAGACTGTTAGCTCTATTAATTTGTTTTCCTTAGGCACTGGT